TCAGGTAGCGAGGAGACCCTGCAACCACTGGCGCAAACAGTAGGCCCTCGCTATCCGCGCTGCCGCCGTCCACGCCCGCGCCCGGGCCCGCGCCCGCGCCGATCAGACCGGGGTCGAACAGCGGCAGCGCCGCCCAGCCGGCGCTGTAGCGGTCCACGGCCACACCAGCAGCATCCAGCTCCACCAACACAACCTCGGCCTGCGCTCCACATGTGCGCGAATTTGCAACAAGTAAATTTGAAGAGGTTATACACAAAAAGGCATGCGCCACCTTGCCGCTGAATTCGCACCACGCCAATACACAATGAGGGCGTGACGGCCGCTTGCCCCCCCCCCCCGCACACGCCTCTGTCTGTGCGCAGCACAGGAGCCAGAAGCTGCCAGCCGTCACCCTCTGCCGCCAGATCACACCAAAACTACACCAGGTCGCTCACCACGGCGATGCAGTGTGGATCTGAGATCTGAGAGTGGTAGAACACATCAAACCCAAACTCCACATCCAAAGCCGGCTGCCCCCGCTGCTGCTGGTCGCCAGCGGGGCTCCCCGATAACGCTGCCCCTGCGCCGCCCTCCACCGCACCCACCCCTGCGCCGGCCGCTGAGTGGCGGGACGCCCCTGGCAGCGGCGGCTCGGGCGGGCTGCGGCAGGTGGCCCCATAGAATGCGCCCAGGGACTCATCGAAGAACGATACGCCCTGCAGTTTTGCGTATGGGGAGGGCCGCCGCGTTGTCTTGGGCGTGTGTGTGCAAAGACGGATCATGTAGGGCTGCGCAAGGGGACAACCCTCACATGGGCGGCCTCTCGAACAGCTGGACGAGGCCGGGGCGTCCCCCTGCCTGCTGCACCCCCCACTCCTCGACACACTGAGCACCGGGGCCGTTGAAAGCAGCTTGGGGTACGCTTGGCGTTGGGCGAATTTGTGCGGCGCGGCTGAGAAGCAGCCAATGCCATCAGGCATATGCCTCCCACCCGCCCGCTTCCCCAGGTGGGCACGGGTTCAGCGGCGCTCGGCACGTTTTGTGCCTGGGCGGCGCCTCGCCGTACAAGTCGCCCTGCCGCCGCGCGCGGGGGTGAGGCCGGCCACCCACCAGCTCAAAGCGATATGATCCGCCGCCCGGCGGCGAGCCCCCAAGGTCTGGTAGCCCCTCGGCGCGGGCGACCCGCAGCCGGTACGCCCTCGTCGCCGGCAGCACGCGACGCGCCGCGCTGGGGGGCGCGGGCGCGTAACGGCGCGCCTGGCGGCAAGCAATGGTGCGCCATGCTTCCTCGGGGCCGCGGCCTGCGGCCGCCGTGCGGCGCCTGCGACGCGCGGGGGGCCAAGCTCAACGTTGGTGCGTTTTCGCATGCACGCCTGATCAAATAAGCAAGAAATTGTGCAGTTGATCGGCACGGGGCGCTCAGTCAGTGCTCACTCCCCCTGCCCCCTTCTAGGGCACCGCCCGCTAGGCACCGAAGGTTCCATGCTGGCTGCAAAAGCACGGACCTGCCGGCGATGACCGCGGGCTTATGTCCGTCGCAGGCCGAGCCTCCGAGACGCTCCTGGGGCTCCGCATGCAGCTGCTGATTCGGCTCCGCGGGCGCAAGCGGGCTGGCGTCGGGTGCTTGTGGCAGCGCCTCCAGCGCTGGAGGGCCGCTTGCTTGCTGCATCGCCGAAAATCAGGCGGCTTGCCTGCGGTTTATTTGCTGGCCAATCGCAGCGGCTGGTTCGCCGTCCCCCGTGCTCAGTCCAAGCTGTTGCAGCTGGGTGCTTGCGCAGGGCAAGCGGCTGCACAGAGGCAGCTGCAAAGCGCAACCCCGGCCTGCTTTGCCCTCATGTGAAAAGCGTTTGATTTGCCAATATAGTTATTAATTTCACGGCAGCTTGTGTATATGATACGCTACTTGGTCTGACTCCGCACGCAAATACGGTAAGCAGCGCGATGGATTTGATCTGAGATTTTGTCATATTTAGCATGATGATACCGTCCGGTGGCAACAAATAAGTGAATCCCGACAAACCAGCTTCGTGCCGCTTGTTAGCCAAAGTTGATCTGGCATCAAAGTTCCCGCCTGAGTCAAATGCGCTCGTCCCGCAGGTCAATGTTGCAGTGATGCAGCTGCAGTCCGAAACAGGGATGTGTCTCCAGCACCCGCTACACACCATCCATTGCACATATTGCAGCTGATAATCACAAACAAAGTTTGCAGCAGCCCCGCAACATCCTTGTTCAAAGCACCGCATCCTCCCTCCGTGGCTTGCGCAAGCACCCCATAGGATGGGAAGTTTGGTATTGTTCCCTCACAGCGGTCGCAACCGGCTGATGTTGCCGGTGAATGTTGTATTTGGCCGTCTGCATGGCCGTTCGACGCACCACCGCAAGTCATGGCAAGCTGAGTCGCTGGCCTCAGAGTTCATCAGACGGACATTCTTTGCTGGGCAACCTGCACTGAAAACATACAAGGCGGCGCTGCTGCTCGCCTTCCTGCCATTTGACAACGTCCACTATTTTCAATTGTAGCCCAGCAACGGGCGGGCGGCGAATGTTTTGCGTCAAGGCGGAGACTATTGCTTCAATCATGGAGGATTGCTGCACAGCTGGCCCAATAAACAGGTCCGGCGTGCTGCGCGCGCCCAGCAAGCAAGGTTTAAAGGCTAGCCCACCTGGGGCGCACCCCTGCGCGGAACTTACCGTGTATAGATAACAAGCCCAGCAGCCGAGCCCATGCGGCAGTTCGTACGAGCCCCCCAAGTGTGGCGTACAAAGGTGCGGTACTCGACACGCTCCCCCAAGCTGTACACCAGCTGTGCAGCATGGTGGACTCGCCCACCGGCACCATGGCGGAGTATCCCTCCCGATACCAGCACGTCTACTGGGCGCACCTAAGCCAGAAAACGCGCTGCAGACCAGCTCACACGCCTTGTGTGTCGTTTAAGAGGTGGTGGTCTGGGGGCCCCGTCAGAGGGCGGGTGGGCCGCACAACTGCACCCATGCGAGGCAGTGATCAATAAATTACAGTCGTACCACCTCGACAGCACGTCACAAGCGGTGCAACCTGGAGCGGTGCGCGCCGCAATACATAAGCAACGTTTCAACATCAAACAATCAAGACCTCGGCACCCCCAGGGACAGACGGGGCTCTTGCCGCCCAGAGTGTTACCGGCAACTGGTGCGGCGGCGCAGCATCAAAAGGGGCGCGGCTGTGTCAAGCTGTTAGAGGGGGGAGTCATGGGCGCGCGCAGGATGGGACAGCAAGTGTGTGCGGCAGGCGGCCACCAGCCGCGCAAGCGGCAGGCCCGGCGGGTGCGAGAAAAGGAATTTGCGGTGCAGTGCGCCGTGCCAGGCGATCCAGCCGGTGCTTCACGTGTCACCGCGTTGGTTTGTTGGGGAAGGAGGGGGGTGTGACCCTGACAAGCGAAGCGGGCGCAACGAAGGGGCGCGCACATGCGAAAGCGCGAGGGGCTTGCGAGAGCGAGGGCGAGGGAAGGGCGCCCAACGGGGGAGGCCGCACATACGAGACACGTGCGCAGGAATGCTGACGAGGACCGGGCAAAGGGGGGAAAATGTTGCAACCTTTCCCCGAGTAGAAAGCTGGGGACGGGGCACAGCACGCGACAAGGTGAGAGATGCGCCCCAGAGCGGCTCGCCGAGCTCGGCAGTACGTCACGAAATTTCTTTGAAGAAGCACCGGCGCCCACTTTGGGCTGTGCGAGAGGCAGTGTCGTGCAAAAGGGGTAAATGTGCCGGCCATGGCCCGCGTCCTCCTGGGTGGTCTGCGCCAAGCGAACATGCGAGCGCCAATCGCGCACGCGCTGGGGCGCCTGACGCGGGCTCGGCGCCAGTCGCAGCCGCGACGCCCGGGGCGGCGGCCGGCGGCCAGTGCCGTGGGCTAAACTTGGGGGCGCCCTCGGCAGCGCCCCTGAAGTTGTTGCGCAAGTGCGCGGGGGCGGCATGATTTGGTGTTTGGTTGATTTGAGATAGCGGAGAAAGGCCGTAACTGCCATGCAATGCGGGCGGCCGCAGGCAGCGCGCCATGCAACCATCAATCAGCGACAAGCTCTGGCCGCGCACGGCGGCCACGCGCCGGGCAGACGCTCCCACAAGTGCGTGCTGGCATTCCCTGGGACACAGGGGGCCAGCAGACCCCCCCTGGCCGACGCAGTGAGTTTGAGAAAATTTAAGGGCTCAAAGGGGCCGTTCCGCCGGCGTCGTGGGCGCTGTTTTGCCGGTGCAAACAGTTCAAGTGGCCGGCTCTGCGGCATCACAACTGCAGGGTTTGGCATCCCTCCACACCCTGGAGGTGAGGCAAGGCGAGGCGCCACGCCCGGCGCCCCACGCATCTGCCAGCTGCGGCTCAGCGGGAGGCGTCACGCCAAAGGCAGCGGGTGCAAAAGGACAGCGGCCCGCGCCTGGGTCCGGGGTGACGCGCCGCAGGGCACGCGTATGTGCGCGCATGCATTTCCACCACACGCTTCAAATCATGCGTTCAGCCCGTGCTGGGCGGGAGCATCTCTTCCAGCACGGACGAGATGGTTTCGAATGACGGCCGCAGGCTGGGCTCCTGGGCGCAGCAGAGGGAGGCCAGGGCCGCCAGGGTGTGGGGCGCCGTGGCGGGGAACGAGGGACGCGCCCCCTGGGGTTGGTCGGGAGGTGGGGGGAGGGGGGCGGGCGCGGCGGCGACGTGAGTGTTTTGCTGCGGTGCGAGAGCAACACAGCAGCGCCGCCCATGGGGCGGAGCCCCTGCCCCTTGCGACGATCGCAGCGTGCGTCCCAGGGGCTTTTCAATCCCGCCCTCGCATTCTGGGTTGCAGTCTCCCCCACCCCTCCCCGCCGTGCCACCCCCAAAGCCGTGCGCCGCCGTACCGCCCGCACGCCCTCGCCTGTGACACTTGATCCAGGATCTGCCCGCGTGTCAGGCCCGCGTACACGCGTTTCCCTGTGTACACCTGGCGCAATCGCAGAGCCGAAACAGAGGAGCCCGGAGAAGCTTTGTGGCTCCATTGTTCAGGGTTTAAGGCTTTCTCAAAGGCATCCACCCATGCAGGTGGAGGCCTCTCGCAAGCATGCGGTGGGTGCCCAAGACCGCCTATAAGAGGGGGCTTCGGTGCCTGACAGAGCGCATTCGACTGCGCGGGCGCCGGCCCCTGCAGGCGTGCGGGCGGCAGGGCGGCGGCGGGACGGCGGCGACGGGTGCGTCCGCCCGTGCCAGGCCGCACCAGGCGCGCTCACCTCATACATGAGGATGCCGAATGCGTGGGCGTCGACAGCGGTGGTGAGCTGCAGGGGTTGGACGGGTGGGGCAGCCGCGCATTATGACAGGGCCAAGGACTCGACAAGTCACAGCCCGCTGGTCACAGCGAGGCGGGACTGGCATATACAAAGGGGCGTATCAGCGCCCTTCCCCAGGACCAAGGTGGAACGTCCTGGCGCCAGAGGCCATCGGGCATCAGGCGCGCAAGCCGACGGCCAGCCCATGGCATGGTGATGCAAGAGGAACGCGCGCTCAGCGCCGCCTTCCAGCGCACCCAGGGGCGGGAGCCGCCGTCATGGGGCGCATAGGTGTTTGGTGGGCGGCATGCGGCTGGGTCGCGCAGATACGTGCCCTCACCTTGGTGTTGGGCAGCAGCATCTCCGGCGCCACGTGAGTGATGGTCCCGCTGCCGCTGCGGTTGTTGACATAACACCTGTGAGGTACAAGCAGTTGGAAAAGGTCGTGGTTGGAGGCGTGGAGGGGTGGTGGAGTTATGCACCGACAGGTGCTTGCCGGCCCGTCTAAGGGGCGCGCAGGCAGGCGGCGTGAGCACACGGGCAACAGATTGGAGTGCGATTGTGCGGGGGAGGGGCGCACGGGCAAGCGCGGCCAGCGCCCACGCAAGCACCCATCGGTGGCGCGAACCGCAGATATAGGGGTGCCGTGCGCCCCAGCCGCGTGGCACATGGCCACCGGAGGCAGGGGGGGGTGGAAAGCTGGCCGGTTAAGGGCGGCGCCGCCGGCAGGGGGACCGTGCAGGCATTGGTTCTCACTCCTCGTTGAGCATCTTGGCCAGCCCAAAGTCTGCCAGCTGCGGGTGTGTGGGGACGGGCGACGGCGTGGCGCGTGGCGGCATAGCGACACGCATGCCGCGCAACACGGCGCTGTATACATGCCACAGGGCGCGGCTTGGACATGCACGCCCCCAACCACTGAAGTCAAACACTAGGGTTCAGACCTTCACATTCATGCTCAGTCACCGACGCACACAACACGCACAGGTTCAGGTTTGAGGCTTTCCAGATGGCACGTGCCCGCACGTACACACTCACGCGCGCACACACACACACACACACACACAAACACACACACACACACACACATGCCTGCGTGTGCGCACACACCAACTCATGTGCAAAAGACGCACACGCGCACCTTGCAGCAAAAGCCCAGGTCGCGGGTGGGGTCGCTCTTCAGCAGAATGTTGTCCATCTGAGGCAAATCCAGGGCAGGTGTTGGAGGCGCCGTTGAATACAGGGACCCTGGGCAACACGCAGTGGCTGCCGTGCCCAACATGCACAAGGATGCCGTGCGCAGCCCGCCAGTCTCAGCGCCGCGCCCCACTCTGACGCTCTGACGCGAAATCGCCCCTCTGGCACCCCGGCCCGCTCAAAAGCGCCCCCTCAAGGCCTGCCGGCCTGGGCCCCACCTTGATGTCGCAGTGCAGCAGCTTCCTCTCGTGCATGTGCTCCACACTGCGCGACACCTCCAGCAGGACCTGCGGTGGACAGTATAACATTTTACTTGGTGCAGACGCGAAAGCAGATGGACATGCATATGGCATACACACACATGCACACGCACACGCAAGCGCGCGTGCGCACACACACACACACACACACAGACACGCACGCTCATGCACGCACACACACACACATGCACACACGCACAACCACGACCACAGTCGCAGCCGCCCCTCACCCTGACGACCTTGTCCAGGTCCACCGCCGCCATCGACTGGCTCACGCGCTGGTGCAGCACCCCGCGCTTGATGGCCTCGCGCAGCGTGCCCAGGTCGCACAACTGCCGAGGCGCGGGAGGGTTTGGCATCATTCAACCACCAACGCTGCAAATCACGGCTGGCATCGACGACAGTTCAGTGCAGCAGGAGTTGCCCCGGCAAAGGAGCACGCTGGTGCCTCAGGCCGCTTCGCAGGGGCGCCCGATGGGTATCGCTTCGCCGTCCCGCGGCTGCCGCACCTCCATGATGATCATGTTGCAGACCGCCAGGCCGGGGTCCTCCCCTGGCTGTGCCGCCCGGTAATGCGGCAGCGCAGCAGAACCAGACTCTGCGGTGGCGCGGCGTGGGTGAGGTGGCAACGCGGTGTGCAACATCAGGGCGGGTGCAAGGGGCACGGATGCACGCCCCCTGGGATCAAAGCTGAGTCACCAGGGTGGGCAGGCAGGCGTGCCGCAGGTGTTTGGGGGACGAACACCTGGAAACCTCATAAATCCATCCGTGCTGATCACCCTATTGCTCAACCACCGCTGTGATACCATCAATAAGTGCGGGGAAGGGAAGATGCTGCTATGAGTGTGACTCACCCTGCCTGACCTCGACGACGTCTGTCAGGCAGTCGTACACAGTGACGATGCCCGGGTGACGCACGTGACTCAGCACCGCCATCTCCATCGCATCCTGTGAGAAAAATCGATCAAGGGATAGCATCAGGGGTTTAATCCAGAAGTTTATTTTGTGGGGAGGGGGAGCATAGAGAGCGGGGACGCGCCAAGAATGGAATGAGCTACTCAGTTGCGTGCTCGATGTTGCTGCTGTGCTGTTGCCGTCCTGGCCCGCCCCCGCACCCTCGCCCACCCCAGTGTGGCGGCTGAACAGGCGGGACCCCGCCCGACACCCGCACCGCTGCCACCACCCAGAGTGCCGGGTCCAGCTGCTTGGCGGGCCCCACCCACCTTCATGGCGCTCCGCTGGTCAGACGCATACAGGACCTGGGGAAGTGGAAGGGACAGGGACATGATGAAAGGTCATGGGTTGTCGAACGAGCTGCACAGAGGAGGGTTGGCCCAGAGCGGCTCAATCAGTGCAACACGTGTGGAGTGCGCAAAACCCTGCATCCCGCATCCTTTGCACACATACGTCCACGTGCGCCGCAAACGCGTGCAAGCCCAAATGCATGCCGGCGCACCTTGACAGCGACAGGCGTGCCCCTGTAGATCCCCCTGTAGCAGACGCCGTACCCGCCGCGCCCAATGACCGCCTTCAGGCTCAGCCCCTCCAGCCGCCTCGCGGGCGCCGTCTCGCAGTCCGCCGCGGCGCTGCACACTGAGTGGGAGGCCGACAGCTTCTGCTGCACGACCTGCACTCAATGATTGCGGGAGTTGGGGGGCGTCGGTTGGTTATGAGAAAGAGGTGGTTGAGCGGACAAGTCGCTGAGACCGCTGTGTCTGGCATCTGCCCAACCCGATGTCGGCCAACATGGGCAAATCCTCGTTTGACCCCGTGACGGAGCTGGTCTGATGGGTGAAATGCACTACAGGGAGCAGAGGTGCTGGTAGAGCAGCGTGCGTGCGCATGCACATGGCTGCCTGTCTAGACAAGCCACACCTACAAACATGCACACGCATGCCCAAGCTCTGTGTCCCAGTGCACGCGCCGCGCCCCCTCGGCCGACCTTCAGAATCGCCTCTGTGCAGACCGGCCCGCTGTTGAAGCTCCCGCCGCTCACGTCCGCCCCGCCCCACGCCCCGCCGCCGCCGCCGACAGCCTCGCCCGCGTCCCCAGACCCCTCGCCGCAAACGATCATAGCATCGCCCGCAGCAGCCGCCGTGCCCCGGCCGGACCCCGACTTGCGCGCGCTCCCCCCCGCGCCGGCACCGGCCGCTGCCGCGGAGCCGCTGCCCTGGCGGCCGCTGCTCGAGAGCGACCAGGCGGAGTCCGCCGGCGCGCGGGCGCGCAGCGCGCCAAACATCCTATCCAGCTTCGACGCGAGCAGCATGGACACGAGGCTTGTGGCGGCCAGTATTGGGCCCTGCAGCTGGCCGCAGGCGTTGGGGGCGTCGAGGGCAAAGTAGAGGCCGCCAAACGCGGCGCTGCCGCGTATGAGGGGGACGACCACGAGCGCGGCCACGACGCGCGAGGCGGGCGTGAAGACGTCGCACGCGGGGTGGGGCGCGCCCTGGGAGAGGGCAGGGCGCCCGCAGTGTACGACAGAGGGGAGGGAAGCATGTGGTCGGATGCCAGGAGGTTGTTCCGGGAGGTTGGCCGGCGATGGTCAGGCAACGGTTGCTTGCTCATGGCTGTTGGCGGCACAGGGGGGAGCTGGGGGTGCATATCACCACCCAGTGTGTGGACAAGCCGCGACAGGCGCCCTCGGCCGGGCAGACGTGCCCTGCGACCAGCCCCTGGGCGCCTGCCGTAACCCAAGTGACGGCAGCCGAGGTCAAACGCAGCGCACCACACTGCACTGCACCGCGCCGCACTGCACCTGGAAGTAGAGCGCGCAGTCGGATATGAACCGCGCTGTGTGCGCCGCAGCAGCGCTGCCCAGCAGCGTGTGCGCCAGCGGCAGCTCCGTCACCACTGTTCGCCGAGCCGGCGACGCACCAGGGGCGCCGGAGGCCCCGGCGCTGGCGCCGGCGCTGTCAGCGCTGACGCCGCTTGAGAGGGTCGTGCCGCCGCTGGTGAAGCTCGAGCTGCCGCGCCGCCGCCCCGCCGCCCCCAGGCCGCCGCCGGCGATCTCCTCAGACGGCTGCTGCTGCTGGGCGGGCCCTGCAGGGTTTGTGGCCACGCAGACTGCGGCTTGTCGGGCAGGAACACAATCTGGGTGACAAGAGCACGCATTGCTTCCTGCAACTTGGGTTCTAATCAGGTGGTGTGCGCAACAGGGCTCATGGACCCCGAGCTGATGGGCCGCAGGATTGCCAGGGGCGCGCGCGCGTGCACCTTGCTGCCGCCGCGCCGCCTCGTTCTCTACCAGCAGCATCCTGTCGCCGCCGATGAGGCCCAGGCGCAGGGCCATCCTCATGTTGGTGACCTGCGCCATGAAGCGGCTCAGGCCCTGGGGAGGGGTGGGAGGGGCGGGGTCGGAGTCGGGGTCGGAGGCGTCATCAAGAGGGCTCGAGGCGCCGCGTGACGCACCACGGCCACAACGGATGCGACCCGGTAGTCGGATCCATTAACCACGCTCAAACAGCGTCCCAAGAGACCTTCCTCTGCGTGCACGCTTGAGCGCACAGCATTGCCACCCACACTAATGAGGAGGCTGGCAGCCTGCAGTGCGTTTGGTTCGCACCCCACCCTGACCAGCAGCTTGCACAGGTTGACGAGCTGCGGTGGTGCCGTGTGCAAGCGCCAGAGGGGGTTCAGCATCGCAGTGCCATCGCCGACCTTGGGCCGTTGGCGAATCCGCCTTCGCGCAGCTGCATCCGCAGCTGTCCCAGCCGCGCCAGCACCCCATTGTTGGTCCGCAGCGCAGGCGCGCCCTGCTCCATCCCAACCGAGTCAAGACACCCGGGAGCTCCACCAGGCGGAGCCCTTCCATCCCCACCGCGCTCCAGGGCCACCCCCTGAGCCGTTCGGACCCACCTGGGGGTTGAGCAGGTGCGGCAGCAGCCCCGTCGCGGCCATCGTCACCGTCGGCTCCCACGCCCAGCCGTCAAACGCGCCGCGGCGCGTCGAGGCGACCGTGAGGGACCCCAACACGCGCCCGCCCGCAGATATGGGGGCTGCCAAGAAGTCTTTCAGGGCGGCGCGCTCGCTCAGCGCGTGGAAGTCGCGCGGCGGGGGCGGTGGGGGCGGGGGCTGCGGCGGAAGGGGCGGCGCCGATGGGGCGAGCTCCGAGGCCGGCATCGGCGCCTGCGCGCACACCCGGCCGGATGCCAGAGGCGACTGGGTTTGCGCAGCAGAGGCAGGGAGGGGGGAGGAGGGGGGCGAGCACTGAAAGCCGGCATAGAGACTGGCCGGTAGGGCCCCGTCGGCGCCTCATTATTGGCGAGGGACGGCCGCTTCTTACGACAGCTGCACAACTGCTGCAAGCGCCGCCCACGTGGCGTGGGGCGCGCGTCCATCACGCACCTGCTGCCGCCCGTCCGCAGGGGCGCACCACCGCAGCACCTTTGGCCCGCACCCCTGGTGGACGCGCAGCACACTCCAGCACGCCTCAACGCCGCCTGCGCCGCTGCCGCCGCTCCGCGCGTGCATCACAGGTTTGTCCCCCGCGACGCTTGCGCCGACGCCGTGCGCGGCGAGCAGGACGCCGACCGCGGGCGGCCCGTCCTCCGGCTCTATGACAGCAGTGATGCTGCAGGGGGGAGGGGCACGCGGGCAGGTTCGCGTGGCTCCGAAACCGAGTGCGGCGCGAGCGCACGCAGGTAGTAGCAGGGGCGTGCTTTTGGTGCGTAAATGAGCGCCCCACAGGCTGCCAGCTGCAGCAGTCTCGCAGTGAAGCATCTTGGAAGCAGACATAAGGGCTCGCACCGCCACCCAAGGTGCGCGGCGCGGTATGTCCCGGCGCGCACCTGCACATGTCGACGCCCGGTAGGTGGTCAACGATGCATTCCGCCAGCTCCGGCAACACCAGGCCAGGAGCGGCGCCGGTGATGGTGTTCATCTCCAACAGCAAGCCGTTCATAAGCTGCGCAGGGGGAAAGGCGTCGTGAGGCGCGATCCAGAACTGGCCAGTGGCCAGTGGCCACCCTGACACTGAGACACCCGCCTCTGCGAGGCCCGGCCCACAAGTCCCGCACCTTAAACGAGTCGGCAGGAACGTCTTTTTCACATGTGCCATTGGTTTCAGCCAGCTTGCCAGCCACGGCGGGCTGGCTTTTGTCGCTGCTGCCGTGTTGGCTGATGACGTTGCCAGAGCCCTGCTGTTCTTGAGGCGTCTTGGAGACACACGCACCCATTATGTGGCATACCCCAGGCCGCTGGCGTGCCTCCGCTTGCCACGCGGGCTCAGCTCATACGGTCCGTTGCCCGTCCCGTCCACGTTTGTATGCCATTCATTTTTTGAAAGGCCACGCTTCGCCTGCCGCACTGTACCGGTATGCTGTGTGTCACCCGTGGGTCCAGATTGATCAGATTTTGTTTTGGGTAGGTTCAAAGTGCTGTATGCGTGCCGGCACATCTGTCGTCCCCGTAAGAAGATGTATGAAGACTGTACAGGGCCGGCAGCACAACACACATCTTTCCACTGGTCAACGCGCGGCCGACACCTGCTCGTGGCACGCTGACGCACGCCAATGAGCCAAGGTGGCTGAGCAGTGGCAGGGGTCAGGCATGGTTGGCAGCTAGGCTACAAGCAGCAGGTACTTGGGGGCAGCGATCACAACAACCACGCAAGCCTTCCCTTGCTGTACCGGTAGCTCAGGGCAACCATTTGTGACGACGCCGACGTCGAGGGCAACCAACAAGGATGGTGACGCGGTCACGGCTATCGGTGTTCGATCGCCGTACGCAAAGCGCAGTGCGACTCACCTCTGACACTCCACCCCGCCTGCGTGAGCAAGCTTGGGTGCAACCACCCTTGCCAGCTGCCCTTGGTTGGTCCAGGGATCATGAATTTTGTTCCAGCGGTGCACCACGCGGCCAGCGGGCCTGACCTTTGCGCTGAGCCTTTGATTCAAAACACTGCATGCTTCCAGTTCGAATGAGCCTCTCACAGCCCGCCAATTCAGGCATTGGCAAGGGGGACAGCCCAAAGCTGTGTCGACGACAGCATGTGTGTGTGTGTGTGTGTGTGCGTGCGTGCGTGTGTGTGCGTGTGTGTGTGTGTGTGTGTGCGTGCGCGTGTGTGTGTGTGTGCGCGTGCGCGTGTGTGTGTGTGTGCGCGCGCGTGTGTGTGTGTGTGTGCGCG